TGAAAGCCCGACCGAGTGGACTCTTGTCCGGTTTCTAGCACGGTCCGATTCTCTTTCCCTGTTTCGAAAGTAACTTCATACAGTATTGATGCGTGTGACGTCGTTGCCGTAAACCATTTCGTGGTTCTCACGCGCTGTGTCAGGGGCGCCACTCTCAAACTTGCATGGCTGGTTTTTCCGGCGGCGTCCCCCCCAAGCTTTCCTACCAGGATGATTCGCCCTACTATGACTTTGTTAACCACCAAAACGACTTTGAAGCTGTTATATTAAGGTACAGATCTTGCATAGAGTGCCTTTAACATAAAAGCTCTGACTGGGGGGATAAATCATTGGAATCTGGCAACCATAAGCATAAACCAAAAGCATGTGTTGTCTTCTCCAAAACAAGTGGTTTTGGTCAAGTTTTTTTTTTTTTTTCTCAGTCTCGCCTTTTTTCGTCAACAGTATTGCATGTGTTGATATAGTCACAGTTATGTTTGATAACGTGCGTGTCATCTCTCATCGTCTTGTTAAGTCAGGGAAAAAAAGGTTGTCAACAAACATGTTTCGTCATAGTTTTCGTTAACAAAATCAACACTGGTTCATGGCTTCCATGTCGGGCCTATCTGAATTAGCCTCATTATGTGTTTTAAATTGGTTTGTCCATGGGCTCCAAGTCGACCCTATCAGAATTAGCCCCAGTATGCGCCCTGCATATTGGTTTGTCCATGGGATCCATATTGGCCCTATCTGAATTATGGGCCCTACATGGGTTTACCCCTGGGATCTATGTTGGCCCTATCTGAATTATCCTACATGCATGGGTTTGTGGATCCATACACGCCTGGGACGGGCCTGTCCACAGGTTCCATGTTGGACATGTTGGCTCTATCTGAATTAAATAACTTATGTCCCCTACATGAGTTTGTCCATGGGTTCCATGTCAGGTCTTTTAAACTGAGTCTAATAAAGAGCTGACCAGATTCACATTTCAAGACGTACATAATTAACTACTGCATACACAAAAAGTGATATTCCTATGAGAAAACAAGCAATGCCTATCCTAATTAGAATCTAGACATTTGCATTTGCTATGTACAGGCCAAGCAATGACACCATATAAACTGCTGAGTAAATGACCCAATGAACAATCTTTATGAGAGAGAGATGGAGAGTGTGTGTAGAACATCGTGCCTGAGGGTTTTATAAAGAGGCTAAAAAGCATAATTTATGCATGATAATGCATAACATATACAGGTTTCATAGAAAGTGTTACTAAATATTCTGGAAACCACATCTAAAAATACAAATAGATTGTTCTTGAAAAGTTGTGAAAACATCAAACCTCAACATCAAAATAGCATATTTTCTATTTTTATTTTTGTTTATTACAAAACAATTCCAAACCAAACTCCAATGCTTGTGGAAAGTTTTATTTTGAATCTGGACATCTGAATGACACACTTCAAAAACAGTGAAAACACAAAAATATAAACAAGGTCACATTACATTTCACTGAAAAACAAACATAGCTTACAATGGCAAATCTGTGTAAACAACAGGCAATGTATCACGACTGCCAAACATTTCACTGAAGTTCAATTATTTCAACTCTTTGAATAGAAGAGCTATTTGCTGGGCAAGTTTATGCACAGGGAGTCTAACAAGAGGTATGTTTTCTGAGGTAAAAAAAAAAAAGGTTATAGAAAATAAAATATGACAGTAATGTCCATAAAAGTTTACCTTGAATTAATTGAGATATCTAAAACCTTCCAGGGAAATGTACTGACAACATCATAAATGCCATTTCTGCAATGTTGTGTGCAAAAACTCAGGCTTAATATGTTTATGTTTAGTATTCAGTGCATGAACCCATCATGTAGTATCGTTTCCATGGTGACAAACCACACCCAAAAATAAAATGGACAGAATTCATAAAAAAGTATAACTTTAAGTCACCATGAATTTAAAATTCTTTGACCTTATGCACCAGAGAAACGTGGGCGCCGTCATCTTTAGAATATTGTCTTTGAACTTCCGTTTTTTCTGTGGCATCACTGTGGAGGTGTATGGTGAAGTGGATTTACTTATTGTATAGACTTAACAAAAGTTATCATGAGCATTGCATGTTTATCATAAGCATTGTAAAGCAGATGTCTTAACAAATGTCGACCGGGAATTTTTTTTACGAGCAGTTCATTCATACCTATGCAAGATCGCTGTGAAAATACAGACCGGAAGTCAAAAGACAACGAGCGCAACGCTGAAAAGGGGCGGGGCTACATGGTCTATAAAATATTGCAGTATCAATTTATTATAGCACAACATTTTTATAATTTTAATTCATGTGCCTCACAACCTTAATGAATCACTTACGCAATCGCAAAAACCGCAATCACCAACACAGTCTCATGAAGATGCGTAGGCTATACCACGAGTGTCATTTCTCGTGGCATTTATAAGCCAAAAGTGTTTTTTTCGTGTATATGGTACGCACTAAAAAACCCTGGGTTAGGTTTAGGGGGGAGGGGGGTGGGGAGTTCGTGCGTATTATACGCAAAAAAGTGCTTATCATATGTACCAACACTATCTCACGACCAATTCGTACGAATTCGACGCATGATTAAAAAGTGGCTAATTCGTAACAATTCATACGACCTCACTCGTACTAATTCGTACGATTTGTCTAAACCCACGTGATGGTTATGTTTAGGGGCGGGGTCAGGGGTAGGTCATTCGTATGAATTCATACGAATTGGCCAATTCGTAAAATATGTACGATTTAGCAAAATCGTATTAATTCGTACGAGTGAGGTCGTATGAATTGTTACGAATTAGCCACTTTTTAATCATTCGTCGAATTCGTACGACTTGGTCGTGAGATCGGGTTGTATGTACCCGAAAATCGCGAGCCAAATACACGCAAAAACTGTTTTTGGCGTATAAATGCCACGAGAAATGACATTCGTGCCATGCAGCATCTCTTTTCTTCTCTGATGATGCACTGGCGTGAGGGCGGAGCAACCTGTCACTCACATGAAATCCACCAATAGCAAACCACAACCATCCACAACAACCCAATCAATTCAAATCAAGTCCTGATCCAACATTTGTTTTTTGCCTTGTCCAAATACCCACACTTGCAAAATTGTATGTTCATAAATGCAAATTCTCCTGTAAAAAAACTAATTTTGTTTTATTTAGGAAAAAAAATGAGCTTTATATTGATTCACTCCGATTTTCTATGAAGCAAAAAGCAATTAAAACATTAAAAATATGCAGATGTTATAATATTTTCTTTTATTTTTTATAGTATTATTTTTTATATTAAGTTTACAATACCCCCCTATTATGAAAGACTTTGTAATATCTATGTTGTATGTTAATTTTGCTGTATATATAAATGTCTGTACTAAGATTGTTCTTAATAAAAAATAAATAAATAAAATAAAATAAAAAAATACCCACACTTGCGTTCTTTTCACTTGACCACTTGTCTACTTGCATGATGTATTTCCTCTATTTAGCCCAATTGTTTTATTAAGTAGGCGTAAAGACTGCAAGTGTGTGTGTAAAACTTTTAATTAGGCTACTCGATGGGACACACTTACAGCCTTTACAATTGTTTTAAATGTATTAGCTATTTTCAATACTTTTGCATTTTAAAATAAACTTCTGTTTGTTCAGCAGTCGCTAACTAATAGAAGACACGTCATTTAAAATTGTTGAAGTTCTTATAAAGTGACATTGCAGATGTTCTACAAAATAGTCGTACACCACGCATCTTTGCACCAATAAAATGGGCAACACTTTATGTTTTTACTACACCAAATTATAGTGGAATGTTTTCTTCGACATCTCACGATTTTTCGGGGCTTATGAGCTCCCGAACATAGTGCATGATTGGATACGCTTAGCTTCGAATATAGCGGTATTGGATGTAGGGTTTAGTGTGCATTAAGGGCACTGCACTTTGTTATTTTAAGACATGGGGCATTCCTGCGTAGACTTACTTCCTGTCGCATACACACACTCTCAAGTGGCCAAGACCTCAAGTGTGGCTATTATTCGGACAAGGCAGAAAACCCACATTTAAATTTAATATAATAAATAAAAGCTCAGACACTTGCATTATTTGCACGACTATGTGTCCCATCGAGTAATCAAAATTTCTACGCACTCTCGCAGTCTTTACGCAGGCCTGAAAATAGAGGAACTTGGTCATGCGAGGAGACAAGTGCAAGTGCAAAGTTGTGGGTGTTTGGACAAGGCATCTGTCTGAGAAGCCGTCCACTGGGGTAAACGTCACAATAGAAAAGAAAAGTTGGTAACAATTTGCAGTGAGGTTGATTAGTTAACATTATTAATATATTAAACATGAACTAACAATGAGCAATACGTGTTACTGTATATAAATTCATCTTTGTTAATGTTAGTTAATAAAAATACAACTGTTATTGTTTGTTCATATTAGTTCACACAATGTAAACAAATACAACCTTTGATTTTAAACGTAGTAAATGTTGAAATTAATATAAATTAATATACGATAAAAAAAATGTTCATGTTACCAATGAACCTAGCCTAATTGTAAGTGTTACGAAAAGTCAATCAAAATTCAATTTCTTGTCGACTTTAGGAGTTTAGGCGTGTATGCGTGCATTATTAATAATGATCATAGGAATAATTTAGTATAATTTGTATAATTTAATTATAAACACTTCCAGTAAGAGTATAAGCTTAGACTGTAATTAGGTGTAGGCTACTATTCTTTTTTTGTGATTGAGATTTGATTTTACTGTTCATTATAATCATAATAATTAAAAACATTCAAGGTTTTTGCAGTCATTATAGAAAATCACATACAGAAAATGTGCAGAAGGCACCCTATACACTTTTTTTTTTTTTTTTAAGTAGGCCTACGAAAAGAACGGCTAGTGGAAACACCGCCCAGGACAGGAAATCCTGGCGCGAGCATACGTGTACTGACAGAGCTGTTCTCCAATGGGAATAGAGGAGGGGAAGTCTCATAATCCTCTAACTCTACTACGAAGGTGAAGCGAAGCCAAAGCAATGGAGAGGAACCGCGTCAAAATGCTCGTTTAATGTTTGAAGAAAAGTAAGGTAAGGATTGACCAGAAGCACTTTAAGAGCTACATTTTGATTTTGAAAATGTTGTGTGTGTTAGAAATGGCATCATAGTGACATTGAGAAGAAAGTTTGGGCGACCCCAGGGGGATTATAGTGTGAGCTCTGGGAGCTGCGCTTGGAAATCTGTCCGCTGCAGCTGAAGATAAGCACTTTATTATGTCAAAACAAACGTTATGTAGTTTTTGCATTTGAAAAAACGGAAATAACTTCGCGTGTACACCGTAACTGGCAGTAGCTCGATACCTGTTGAGTGTAGCCTACATGATGATGTATTTATTGTGGAACAGCGTTATTTGTACAGTTGTTTTTGTGTACTAGTTAGGTACTGCAAATTTACTGGACTTTTGGGAATAAAAAAAAAAAAATGAGAACAAAAAAAAAAATATATAAGAGTAATATATAGTATTTAATTACTTTAAAATATTTGATTAGAGTGGCTATTCTAATTTTTTTTTTCATTATCTTTTTTAATGGCTTTTTCAAAGTCTTTTAACTCTTGTTTTTCCATGTTTTAAATGTATTTTTTTATTTTACTTTATAATATATAATCTTTTTATATCATCTTTTTTTAAATCATTTCTATTTATGTCTGTAATCTTAATCTTTGATAACATAACCAATTGTGAATACCATTAAAATCTTTTATTATTATTTTCATTTTACAAAAACGTACAATTTGTTAATTGAAACGTATATTGGTTTGTCATTATTTTGAATGTTGGGGATCCTGTCCCCTTGAGCTTAATCAGCCATACTTTTTCAGTTTACTGTGAAGCTGGATACTTTGTGGGTTTTGTTAGGTATTTAGGAAAAAAAAAAAACGTAACAATGGCAAGGCGATGTGTCCAAAAATAAACTCTGCCCGGCAGCGTCACATGACTAAATAGAGGAGAGCAGATAGCAGTTTGCCTCAAACAACTTTGACATATTAGCAGTCATTATGGGAATCACTTAATTGTGTAACAGGCCAATGTTACATTTGTAATGCCAGGGCTTTATAATCATAATGGAGGTTTGATATAAATGTAACAACAAATGGTAAACTTCAATATTTTGTGTAGAATTCAATTGGATGTGTATATGTTAATCACATCTTAATGATTAAGAAGGATGTTTAAAAGTTATATTCAGACTTCATATAAAAGCAAGACCAATTAAAGGGATGCTCCACTTTTTTTGGAAATAGGCTCATTTTACCACTCCCCCAGACTTAAACAGTTGGGTTTTACCGTTTTCAAATCTATTCAGCCGATTTTTTATTTTATTTTTTTATATTATTAGAATATTAGTAACCAGACAGTTTCTGGTCTCATTGACTTCCATAGTATTTTTTTTTTTCCTACTATGGAAGTCAATGAGACCAGAAACTGTCTGGTTACTGATATTCTTCTCAATATCAGAAAATAGGCTGAATGGATTTGAAAATGGTAAAGCTCATCTGTTTAACTCTGGGGGAGTGATAAAATGAGTCTATTTCCAAAAAAAGTGGAGTATCCCTTTAAATGTGCGTTACAAAAAGTTACTGATGTTATATGATAACAATATAGTTTTGAAGATTGTTCTAAATGTAAAAATCCACACAACAACTATAACGATTTGTTTTTCAGTTGATGAAAGATACATTAACAGCCAATCAGAGGCCGGGTTTTTACGGTTGCCATTGCTTTCCCTTACTCTTCGCCATTTGCCATTGCCTTCCCTTACGCTTGCCTGTGTGGTTACAGTGGACGGTGAATATAATTGTTTGTACATCTTAGACAGAAGACAGAACGGGACATTTAATGCTTATAATCTCTTGGAAAGGTCTTTGCTTTAAAACTGTTTGGGAACACTGTCTCCAGTCATTTGTGCTGAATCTCTTTGTGTATTTTAACCTTGGATCCAGTGTACACTGGTTACACAGTCCAAACTGTCTCAACTGCTTTTGAAAAACTCCTTAAATTAATACAGACCACTCTCTTAGTTTCCACATCAGGCCTCGCTTTAGCCAGGTAACAACATCATAGCAGCCCTACATAGACAACATCTGCCCAGATGTGCATTCCTCATATGTAAGAACGTTTATATTCTGTAAATACTAAAGCGGAATGCAAACATGAGAAACATGAGTTGTTTTTTTTTTTTTAAAAAAACTCGCTAAATGCAGGAAAGCGATACGTCTGCAAAATTGGTTTGGCGGTGGAATTGCACGGCTCCATCCCCTCTGAATCCTCTCTGGTTTTCAGACTTGCCAAGCTCTGGTCCTCATTCAAGCACACTCGTTTCCAATGCATATTTCTGCACGCATTATGAGTGGCAATCAATTTCGAATTAGACTTGATTGCTCTTTGTTCTGTCAGGGGAAAAGGGCCTCAGCGAAGGGGACGTGGTCGACTATCTCACTGGCACACCGACGGTGTGTTGGCTCTGGGTTGCTCCAAGATTTAACTTGCTTGAGGCCCCAGATGGGATTTCATACATTTTGCTTAGGCTGCCTAAACGATTTCATATGTATTTGCTCAAGATGAGTTTCCCTAGAAAAGATATATATGCATTGGACTGTAATTTGGCGACTAATTATGCAGTGTGATGCTTTAGATTTTGTCATTTTCCTTAAAACTGTAATGCGAGGACAGGGTGAGTCATTGCAGTAGAGTTCACGTTCGTTAAGGGTTTGTTTATGAGTTGAAAGTGTCGAGGTCTGGTGAAGCCCCACGGTTGGGAAATGCGGTAATTAAACTGAAATAGAGGATGTCTGTCCAGGTCTTTGAAGTCTACTTGGTAAAATGCAGGAGATGGCTGGGTGTGCAATCAGCGAGTGTATTTTTGTGTTGAATATCAAATTCATTGTTTTTTGTTTCCTCAGTATGCATATTTTGACCTGATTGAAGCTTTTCTATAATGAAATGAAATGATATCTGATATTTTGCATATGTTCACCATCATCATTTGAAATCATTTTAACCTGGCATTTATATTGCGTATTTTTAGTAATACTTTACAGTTGTTTAGTTAACATTAGTGAACTACTAATACTGTCACTTTATTCTTTTTAAAGTGACTGTGATTCAATCAAGAACAGTGAGAGATTTTCTCTCTTTTGTTGTTTGATTAGCATTAATAATGACAGCATTTGAATGCTGTCACTTTAAGACCGACTGCATAGATCCATTTTACCTGTGCTTTTTTCTCAATTAGTTACGTTCACTTAAGACATACATTGATTTGTTTACTTGCAAGTACATGGTCAGTAGGTGGCAAAAAACACTCAGTTCAGTTCTCACACACTCTATGAGCAGCGACTTCATATATTGAAATGAGTTCTGTTTCTCTGCTAATTGCTTTTTTAAAAACCGCAGTGCTTAAAAAACACATGCAAATGATAAGCTTTCATGACCTCCCAACTAAACAAAATCATCGTAACCGTGATGAAGATCGATTGTCCAAAATCTCTACCGGTTGACCAATGTCTTCTAGTTTATCATGTATACAGTATATCGCCTATCAGTCCATCAACAGCATTTTTCAATCGTATTTAATGTCAATTTCAACATTTAGTTATACATTATTAAAATCAAAAGTTGAAGCAGGTGGGAACATGCAAACGTGTAAAGACTTTAATTATAGAATAAACAACCATACAATGAAGTTTTATATACAAAAAAATTAAAGATACACAGATAAACAAAATATGACGTAATAGTCCAGGCCTGGTCCTCTCTTTTCCTTCACTGTTGTCGCTCATCCGTGAGCTCGTCCCGCTCTCACAACTCTTGGCCTCGTCCTGCCTGCCACACAAAGCCTCACCGGCACAGCATTCTTGCAATGCATGAATTTAAGAGCACTTACACAAAATTTTAAGATGAAAAAGCACGTTTTGGTTTTCAACTGCGATAATGTTCTCACTCACAGAATCAGACACTGACGCTTTTTATATAACACATTTCTCGTTTTGAGTTTTATTACTGGGAAGAAGAAGGCGGGAACCGGCGAACATTCCAAAGATTTTAAAGGATTAGTTCACTTTTGAGAAAACTTTTGCTGATGATTTACTCACCCCCATGTCATCCAAGATGTCCATGTCTTTCTTTCCTCAGTCACTTTCCTCAGGTTTTTGATGAAAACATTCCAGGAGCGACGTAGCCGGAAGTACAGAGCCTGTTTACTTGTTGAACGCATAGGTTGAACGTGCGCATAAGTTGAACGCATAGGTTGAACGTGCAAACTAACTCAAACGCTGTTTTAAAAAAAGGAATTAAAAGGTAAAACCATGATGTCGGACGATTTTGATTCCAGTCTTCCGGCTACGTCGCCCGTGACCTTTTGAACGTAATTACGGATTATGTGACGTTAAAAACGCGCCTCACAGAATAGAGCAAGGCTAGCATTTGTCCTTAGAAAAGTTACATTTTTGGAATAAGTTTTAAAATAACCAATCGTTTCGCATGATAAGACCCTTCTTCATCGTCTGGTGTCGTTTAAAGACATTTGAAGCTGCATCTGAAACTGGTATTAACTGTCTTTTGGACCTTGGACCGTCTGGTTCCCATTGAAGTCCATTATATGGAGAAAAATCCTGGAATGTTTTCATCAAAAACCTTAATTTCTTTTCGACTGAGGAAAGAAAGACATGGACATCTTGGATGACATGGGGGTGAGTAAATTATCACCAAAAGTTTTTTTTTCAAAAGTGAACTAATCCTTTAATAACAAAATCAAACAAAAACAGAACGAAAGAAAAAGACAGCAGCCCCTCATGGACGACTGCTGTCACATAATAAAACATAAACAACACAACATTAATCCAGACCTGGCCTGTCTCGTCCTTCACTCGTCCTAAGGGGGAAAACTCACCAGGTTCTGAAAAAAACCTAACACTTTACTTTTCGAAAGTCTGAATGGGGGACCAAAAAACAAAAACAAAAGACTCTTATATAATAATAATAGATCAACAAAGTTAAAAGTTATATAAAATCCGTTTTTTCAAACTAGTA